GGGGCCTTCGGCACCGAATGGCCTTGCTTCCCTGGGCTTAGCCCAGCAACCCTTCCTCGGGGCTCAGCGGGGTTATGTGTGTCGGTAAGGGGCACCGCAGCAAGCTTTCTGTTCGGGGGTTCTTCTTGCACCTTGGTGTATCTGTGATTTGAGCAGTGACCATACTTTAGTCTTAAAATCCCCAAAGTTTAGGTCTGTATTTATAGAGCTTGGTTTCAGTCTGGAACGTGTGTTTGTTTGTCAGCCCCTGACATTGAGTGAATTACTATGTATGTGGAATGTTGCGGAGAGTAATGAAGCTTTGCGCTGTAAAGGTACGTTTTGTGAAATGAAAAATAGAAGGTTCAGGCCCTAATGGCAGCAGTGGGCTCCCTCCTTGTTCTGGGAGCTGTAAGTTACCTTTAACTGATACGCCTCAGCAAAAGTTCTTGGAATTAGTGAGCAAAGGTAGTCTTCAGTTATGTTGTGAAAGTACTTCATGAAAATCAAAGTATATTTCTGTAATAAACAGGTACTGTCTTCTGGAAGGCTAACAGGAGCAGCTAAATTAACAAATGGAAGAAAACAGTAAGACCTTTATCATGAATACTATCTAAGATTGAGCGCGTGTGTGAGTGTTGGGGAACCTTATACTTGTCATACCTCACAACTAGGCAAAAATTCTTCGTATATATCAGAAAACATTTTTAGCTGAAAGGCAGTGCAGCTGGGTTCTGAGAAGCCTGTGAATAGACAGACACAAACCGAATAGAAATTTTGCCTGTAGAAATGCAGGATTGACTCTCACTGTGTGATTTAGTTATAAAAGTTTGAATTTGTATAGTTACTAGCTGTACATAAGACTGAGTAAAGACTGAATTCTCCTTTGACATAACCTGTTAATATCTGCTAAACGTGTTTGTTGCAGCAATGCAAAATTTTCAGAAATATATTTTGTTTCTTGATAAAATTAATTTATTTTAGCTTGCTATATTATTGAATAAAAGTAATTTTTTTGCTTTGCTGCATATTAAGGAGGTAGTATAAACAGCGAATTTGACTTTTTCAGGTTTGGCTCAAGAAAAGGACGTCATTCTGATGTGGAGTCTGGATATTCTCTCTATTCCACTGACTCTGATGATCAGGTACTTAAATGCCTTTAATAGAGTCACCTCTATTACCTGAAAAGAAGGGAAATTGGAATACCTTGAATAATAGAAGAAAACCTGGTTAATTTAGATACCACTACATCTGGACTAGAAATAGCTCCTGCAAAGCTAGCAAGAGTGTTTGTACTGCATCTTGCAGATGCATGCAAGTTGGCTTTGTGTGCAGTGAGTTTGGCTCTGACAAGTCTCATTAAGGCACAGGATATATGTTGCAAACGCAACTGTGCTGTTTATGGACTAGAGCTGGCCCTGGCAGAAGTATAGCTGTATTTATTAGGTTTTTGTGCCAAAAAGAGCGAGTTGTGTGGAGCCAATGCTGCAGTGCTGTTTTCTGTGTAGTGCTGAGTCAATTATCTCCAAAATAGAAATAGGCTGTAGATAATGGCTTAACTGTACGTGGAAATAAGAATAAAACCTCCACACATGCAATTACCAAAACATAAAATCCAGCAAATGCACATGTGTGCGACAACACTTATTTTTTTTTGCAAAATTTGCATGTTTGCAAGCCTCTACGTAATTGCAAAGTAACACATGGAAAAATTACATATTTGTGCTGGCTATCAGTTGTTCTTTTTCACGTCACACAGTGGGGAATACTCCCCTCTAAAATACTCTCTTGGTTTACTGAAAGAAAAGTGTGATACTCATTTTCTTACTGCAGTATTCTTTGTGCAGGTTGATACTATTCATAATGGACTTGACCGTTGTGCGGCTTTACTGAAGAGTATCTTACAAAATGAGGCTACAGGTTGTATCTATTGAAAATTTGAAGTTATGTTTTTAATTTTTGTAAGACTGTCTTGATTTATGTTGTTGACTTTTTTTTTATTTTGATTTATACTAGGAAGGGAGACTATCCATAAACAACCTGGGAAAGCAACTTCCATTAAAACTACCTCCAAGCCTTTGCTAACCAAAGGAAATGCTTCCAAGAAGAAAGGGCTGAAAAAAACCATTACTCCTGCCCACATCCGAAAAGAAATTGGTAAGTGGACTTTCTTGGACTTGCTTTTTTCTCAAACAACATTGAGAGACTCCTCAACGTATTGAGAAGATCTAACAAGGCTTCAGGTAATTGTTGTCATTTGTTATAGGTTGATCCAGGACTGGATCCACAGAAGGATTTAGGCCTTTTAGAAAACTTAAATGTTTACTAAACAGTTATTAAAATTGACAAATGTTTGAGCTTCATGTACAGGGAAGCAAGTTGAGTACGTTTACAAATGCCAACATCATCAAGTTTAGCTGGTAGGAACTGTGGAGGGGAATGATAATACCCGTGCCCCATTTTTCTTGGACTGTGAAGCATTACAGTGCTTCGTCTCCGTTTGGGATACACAGCTATAAACTGTCCCGGAATTAGGTGTCCAACCAGGCTTTTCTCAAAGATCAGTTTCTGGAAACAGGAAAGTATAGCAATAAATAACAAGAACTGAAATGGTTTTATGGCCAGAGCACTTGAATGGAAAGGGAGATGGAGTGCTCTAGGCTGAATTTCTCTCAGTTGAAATAGTTCACTTTTTATTAGCATTTCTCCCTCTCTCCACACCGTGTGATTTCTAACCCAGTAGACAAGTGGGGCCTGTAGACTAGGTATGTAGCAGAATGCCTATTTTGTGAATTGTAGAAGGTGAGCACCTAGCTGATATCTTTCCAGCACCGTAAAAGTATGGAGTTTTAATTGTACCCGACATAAGAAAATTAGGTTTGGAGACTGCTTTGGTATGGGTTATTCCAAATGGCCTAAAAGCTTAGGAAGCAGCTAAGCAGAGATTTCAAGAATTGCATGTTAGAACTGGCCTTCTGTAGGATTACATCTCTCTGCTTCCTTCAAGGACAGCAGTCTGTCCAACTGAGTTAGGTTGCTCTGGAACTAAAAAATGATGGATTGACTTGCTGGTGAGTAAAAATCTGACTGGAATCTTAAGCTGTAAGGTCTTTTGGTTTTCTTTTTCAAAGGAACCTTCCGGAGTCTGCCTGACAACACAGTGAGTTTGTGTAGACCGAGAAGATGGACAACTTCAGCTGGGTTTTTTTGTTCTTTCTTTCTCTATAGTGCCAATGTCAAATAGAAGACTTGCTTTGTCCACCACACCTTCTACTGAGAAGGAACTTTCCAGTGCAGTGCAGAATCAGATGGTTCCACCAATTCACGTGCCTTGCAGTCAACACTCTCCTGTGATGCATCAGAAACTGTGCGAGCATGTGCAAACTCAGATGTCTCTGATAACTGGCCAACCACCACAGAACAGTAATGAAATTCCTACTGTAACTCCTTTTCCTACCTCAAATCACGGTTAGTGGAACTATTAATGTAGAGCCTGCTATCTCACTGTATGAGTTTTGCCTGAAATTGTCCTGATCTATGAGGGCTGTTTTCTTTTAGGATGTCAAAATGTTACAGCTTTTAATTATCGATTACCTACCTCCACATCAGCTCTGTCCCTGCAGCATTCAACTAATACCTTATCTACTCAGTCAGTAAGTAAAAGTTTGGTTCTGACTATTAATACACATTTTAAATTAGCATTGACTATTTATTTATACATTTAAGTGCGTGGGTTTTCTTGGTTTTTATGTAACAATTTTCCTTAAAGGAAAACTTTGCATATTTCAACCTATAGTGATGAACAGAATGAATAATGAGAGAAAATACTGCTATTTAAAATACATTTTATATAGACACCAAAAAATGAAATTAGAAGCATTTCAGCTGGCTGCTTGTTTCTGCATGTTGAATTCTGTAATGGACAGCAAACATGGAAGGTGCAGGAAATTATTCATTACTGTTAATAATTACATTCTCAGTAACGCACATTACGATCATCAACCAACTCCTGGTAAAAGAAATCATATCTCATATGTAGTTTTTTCCTCTGCCAATGATCAAGTTGATTATTTCTTCGGACACTGTGTATTATCTTAGAGCCACATTTTAAAATACTTGTGTGTTTCAGGGTATAGAATAAAACTAATGGAGAGTACCAACTGCCACCTTGGGAAATGTGGTAAAGGGCTTGCACCTTGAAACTGTAAGGTTGTAGACTTACCTTCCATCTGCAGGCAGTCCATGTATAGCTAGTGCTGTCCTTGACTTTTAGGAAATTCATCTACTTAAAATATTGAAAGGTAACAGTGTTGTCTTTTATTTCTTTTTCTTCCCTGTTCTGGTTTGATTCAAGGACTGATTGTTCATAAAGCAAAAAAAAAAAAAAAAACGAACCCAAAAAACCAGGATGAAAACACTGCTGAGGTTTTTTCTTTATAGAACAGCTGGAAAAGAACTGTGCTTTAATGTTGCCAGTAACTTTTAAAATAAAAGTAATCTAAACCAGATTTACATTTCAATTACTGTAATTAATGTACTGGGAAATTATGCAATTAATGAGTTGCCGTTGCTTTTATAATTTGCAAAGAATGATCAAGACTACATTGAGTCAGAAAAGGGTTTTTTGGTGTTTTTTAAGATTTTAAAAAAAGTTAACTTTGTTCACTATGAATATTCTTTATGCAGGACGTTCCTGTAGACAGTGGCAATGAGCATGTGCCAGAGATGGGAGGACCTGTGGTTTGCCCAGTAGTTTCTGCTGCTCCTACTACTGCTGCACAAATACAGTCTGCCACTGTTCTTCCTACTGTGATCCCTTGTATAGCATCAGGTGTATCAAATAACTCTGCAGTGCCGACATTCATCCGGTCATCTTCTGGCAGAGAGATGACCCCAAACCACGAGCAACAGAGAAAAGAAGCAGATTTGATAAGATGCATACAAGCCCACCTGGCCCTGTTACAATCACACGAAATGATGAATGGCAGCACTGAACAGAAGCACCATCATCATTGTCCAGCAAAACATAGTGCTTCAAGTAACAAGGAGGAGGATACTTCTGAAGAACACAGTGAGGACACAGTCAGTGAAGAAGAGGAATTGAATGTACTTGACGTGGCCGCAGTGAGAGATACAAGCTGTAAGACAAGTTTTGTGAAGAAGGTTTTGAAATCTAGAAAAGAAAGTCCAGAAGAAACAGCCCATAAAGTTAAGACTGTAAAATATCTTCTGGGAGAGCTCAGAGCACTGATAACAGATCAAGGTGAGCATGTTTTCATTGTGCAGTAGAGTGATTACAAATAACACAAGAGCTGTGTTAAATGAGTGAGCGCTTCAGTTTCTGGAAGTTGTATGTGTCAGATGATATGTGACATCTTAGAGTGGATTTCCACAGCTTTATAAGCTTTGTGTTTCACTCTGGATAAGCATTACATTATTTTTTGGAGTATTTTAACATTGTAGTAACAGCTAGGATAAAGATTGTTCTCATTTCTTATATGGTGTTTTCCCCTGAGAAAGGGAGCAGTGTAGACAGATTGCAACAGCAGTCCCACCAAGGTTGGTTGGAGAGATGGTGGGTTGTGATTTATCAAGAACGTAAAACATAGTTTTCATAGGCAAGCTTAAAAATTTTAAATAAATATAGTTAAAAATAAAGATGAGGTTTTCTTGGGGGGAAAAAAAATAAGTAGATACTATTATATCACTTCATAGATCGCTTAATTGCATTTAAAGTATGACTGTCATATTACAGGTTTGTATGTTTATGGGATCTTTTTTTTCCCCTCACCTCTTGCAGATGATTCAGAAATGTTAAGGTTGATGAGTGAAATAGAAGACTGCGTATCATTGCTCCCAGCTGTAGTGGGAAGCACGAATATACAAGCTGAAATAGCGCTAGCTTTACAGCCTCTCAGAAGTGAAAACGCCCAGCTGCGTAGGTTAGTAACTTGTCACTGACTCTGTATTTACTGCAGATGTGCCTAAAGCATCTTTAACTGGTCTGTTCTAAATTGCGTATTTTATCATTGTTACAGTGTGAGTGTTACGGCCCTTTCGTTCTTGTCTGTGCAGTATTTATATCTTGGAAAGTGTGTTGGTAAGGCTACATAGTTTAAAAAAAAATTAACACATGGCAAGACTTCAGTTAATACTGATGTTTCAGTCATGTCAGTTATGTTATGACTGGGCCTTCATCTAGGTGGGATCAATGTATCTGTGTCTCTGAAAACTGCAGCATCAAGATAGTTAGCCTGCTCACATTCTTTTTGTAGTGTATTCTCAAATGCAAAAATGGCTCATTTCAGGGGAGCTCTCAAATACATAACTGGGTAGCACTTTACTTCAGAACAGAGGGAAAGATATTTACCAGAACTTGCAAAGGGTCTTTTGAAGAAAGAGAGGAATGTAAGGAAAAATGCATTATTAAAACTTTTTTATGTTTCTGAAACATTCTGTGACATATAATTCTCAGTAGCAACTTCTTACCAAACTCATTTAAACTGCAGTGGTTTTGAATTTATTCTGAACTTTCTGATTTTGTACTTTTTCCAAATTCACATTTAGGAGACTAAGGATATTAAACCAGCAACTCGGGGAACGAGAAAGAAGTGAGAAGACATCTGGACAGAGCTGCAACTATGAATGTAAAGTACTAATAGAGAATGATGTTAGAGGCATTTTTGTTGAAGCTTTATTTAAATAGATACAGACATATGAAGATACAGATATATAAATAAAAAATACCGGTACATATTATGGCCTTTAGTTGCATCTGAGCTAAGTGTTGTGGGTCTAATCCTGCAGCTGCATTTACATGGATTGTTGTGGCTGTTTAGACTCCACATAGTGAGACTCAGCTCTTCAGCTGCCGAGCAGGTTAATTTTCCTTATATGCATCTATAAATGAAGATGACAGATAATTAAGAAGAAAGCTTGATTTTTATTTTGCTGCTTCAGAAAAATGCTTCTATCTGTAAGCAAAATTCATACTATCAAAATTATTTAAAAACTTAGTTTGATTTAGAAATTCAAGCTGTACTACACAAAGCACTTAAAATTTTTATGTTTTACTTTTGGTAGTAGTTTCTTTGCAGTCCTTGAATATGATGCTCCAGAGTCAATTGAAAGAATCACTGAAAGGCCTTGAGTCACTGCAGGCTAAAAATGAAGAACTACTTAAAATAATAGAAAGTCAGAAAGAAGAAAATAAACATCTTGCAAAAGGTATTCAAGATAAGGAAGAAGAATTACTTGAAAACAAACAGCATTATGACATTCATTCCACCAAGCTCAAGATTGGTACATGTTTTGAATTTTTTATTCTTCATTTAGTGTTCTAAAACTTAAACTAAATAATAAGGTAAAATCTTCTTGGCATTTTAGAAGTGGAAGAGGCATTAGCAAATGTGAAGAGCCTTCAGTTCAAGCTGGAAGCTTCAGAGAAGGAAAATAAAATTTTGGGCATAACATTACGTCAGCGTGATGCAGAAGTTAACAGACTGCGTGAATTGACCAGGTACTATTGGCTAAGCCACTTTTTTGCCTCTTGACGTTGCTCCCTCTGCTCTCTCCTCTATTCTTTTTTTATACTTTGGATTATTGTAATCTTAGTGTCTTGGTGGCAGAAGGTCACATAGGCTAAAACTTCTCTTTGCAGTTAATTTTGCTACAATGGTGCTATAATTTTGTTAAAACAGAGTTGTCATGCTCCATCACTTGAATTCTGTTGTAAAGTAAAATGCTATATGCCGTAACTTGTGCAAAGTTTTAATAGCAGACCTGCTGATAAATAGCTCCATGGGAAGTGCATGGACCTAAAAACCTAATGATATTTCCCTTGAAGCTGTAGATTTGCAAACTAACTCTTAACATGGATTAAGGAGGGATTATTTTTTTCTTTCTTTCTTTCTTTACACTGGTTCAGAAACTGGTCTATTTTGAGAACAACTCACAGAAAAATCTGTCTTTGGGACCCACAGCAAGTGGGAACGAGCGGTCCTTTATTTAATTGTACACACATTTGAAGTAGAATATGCCCAGATATTATGGGTAAAGATGGGAGTTCTTGGATCACTGAATGAAGGTGGTGTTACTCACAATTTTTTTAGAACTATTACTGTGAATTTATTTCATCGTGATCTTTTATGATGACTATAGTGGCAAGCTGGAAGACTTAAATAGCTTTTTATACATGCAAAGTGGTATGTACATAAAATTTGTTTGGGCACAGGAAGTTAAACTGTTGTGTCTCTTGTTTATAGTTGATACTGATTGGAATGGCAGAATATTTTTAAGCAACACTTCAGATCTTTAGTAGAAGTTTAGACACATTGCACACTTCTATGACTACGATACTGACCACCAGATGGTAGTCTAATGATGTCTTATTACATGTGTACATGTATATGCTATATATGTAAGCATTTAAGTGTTCTTTTTCTTTTGATGTACAAAGCAGAAAATGAGAAGAATTATTTCTTTTATTATATATTTTATTTAGAATCAATGGGAAGAATAATTCAGAAAATTCTCGCTGTTTTTTTGATAACTGCTTTTATATGCTTTGTAACAGTTTCTTGACATCAATTTATTTCATTTTGTAGTATTCAAAGCAGGTAAATCGTGAATAACTTCGAGAACTTCATTGGGTTGTGCTATTTTAGTTAGTTTATTTGAGCTAAGCTGAAGAAAGAAATTACAGAAATGTGGAATGGGTTCACATTTATACTGCATTTTATGACAAGATGTAAAAAGAGAATTGTAACTTTGCCACAGTCTGACAAATGTAATGTTTTGGGGTTATATAAAAGTTTTAAACTATTTTTTTAGTGACTATTTTGAAATCTGATTAATTGATCTTCTCTTAACAGGACCTTGCAGGGCAGTATGGCCAAGCTTCTGTCTGACCTCACAGTAGACAACATTAGACCCAAACCTGAAAAAGGTCTCTCGAAGTCTCTTTTAGAAGACCATGAAAAGCAGATGCAACCTGATCCATTTCCTGGGAGCACTTCAGTAATGACTTACCTTAAAAAATTAGAAATGGATCATATTTTGACAGATACAGAGTTTCAATTCTCAAATAAAAGTGGACAATTAGAAATGCAAAATCTAGCCTGTGAAAAGTTGGCTGCTGAAGGAAGTAAAATAAATAGTACCTTCTCAGAAGGAACATCAACTCCCAGAATACTACAGATATCTCCTAAGCAAGATGCAGAAACGGTTAGCGATTCTGGGACTTTACTCGATGACCAAAACAAGTTAGATGAGACTGTTTATATTCCACTGACTAGCAGTGCCTCTAAAAAACAGTTGCCAATCTCTGAAAGAACTGGTGTGCTACCCCAAAGTAGAGGGGCTTGTAAGATGTTGGACTACCACTGTGAGCTCTCAAACTCTGTGCAGCAGAATGGATGCGAGATTGGAAAGGATCCAACTATTCTGGATAAATTAAGTGCTGGGTACAGCGTGAAAAAGACTTTGGAAAACACGCTTGAAGTTACAAGGGATAAAGTGAAGCCAGAAGGAGAAAAAATCCAAATGAGGCCAAAATGCACTCCATGTGGAGCTGCAAAGGACTTGACAGATAAAACAGACCAGCCTCAGCCTGGTACATACCCTCATGTACCAATGCTATTTCTGAAAGAGATTTCTCAGAAAAAAGGCAGCGAAATAGTTGATTTTAGTTCCATTTCATTTGATGATGTATCGGGGAAATCTGAGTGGAGCGCATCCTCTTTCTCAACATTTACTTCTCGAGATGAAGAGGACTTTAAGAACAGCTTAGCAGCCTTGGATGCCAACATAGCTAGGTTACAAAGAACTCTGCAAAATAGCATTATGAAACAATGAGTATGAGGAAACAAAATGGGGTGCACTTGTTTGGATTATTTATGTTTTTCTGAAGTATACTAATAAGTGTGGTAATGATATGAATATTTGTGGGTTTCATATAAAATGACTTGTTCCTAGCTGTTTAAATTATGGATGGGATTTGTTCCTCATTAAGCTATGATGCTGCTTCCCTTGACGTGTACAACTTGAGATAACTGGTATATATGCCTTTTTTAAATTATCGCTTAGAGTTTATACTCTTTAATTGCAAAATTAATTCTTAGAACAGCACTTGGTAATTGATTAAGAAACCAGTGTGCTTTTAGCAATAGAGATTTTCTATTAAATGATAAAGTACACTTGCATGTTTTTTCTGCGTGCTTTTTCAAAGTAGTAAGAACAACATCGAGAGAATGCATTTGAAGTCAGTTACAGATGTGATAAAGAGGAATTTTTATGTCATTATAATTTGACTGTTACAACATTAGATGCATGGTCATGACCATGTGTTTCAAGAAACTAACTCCTTGTTCTGGTTCACCATGAAGTGTGCAAGGAGTAGCATCAACATCAAAGAAGCAGGTGAACAGGACTTCTTACTCAGCTACATTGCTTCCTAATCCAAATTGGTTAGCGGTGCTTGAATGCTGGTTTTCATGACTCATGTTCTTTCAGGGAAAGTATCTTCGGAAAGGGAACAGCAGTATAAGGACCTGAATTTAAGACTGACTTTTCTGCAGCGTTGCTTATTGTTTTCCCAGAAAACATTACTGTGCTTCCTGGTGCTGATCTTTTCTTTTACATTTCCATGTAGGACAAAAGTTTCAAGTTTTACCGCTTTGAGGAATTTTATTTTTTTCCATGGTTAGTTGCTTGAATGAACACATTTTAAAGTTAGGGCACTATCCATACGTTGTGCTGTGGAGTAGTTCTGTGATTATTTTAGTTACTCGTAACTGAGCACTAGAAAGGTATGAAGACAACACATGCTACGGAAGATGCCAACTGGCACTCCTGCTTCGAAAAAGGAAAGTTAGACTAAATAGTGACTTCAGTGATTTAGAATGCTTTTAAGGCTTGGCCTGGATTTCTGGTTACTCTCCACACTATTCATGCTCAGATTCAAAATAAGGTTGACGGTATAAAAGTGAACACTTTTTAATTAAATATTTACAGTTTCAGTGTAGAAGCAAAGGAAGATTTAAACGATGATTAAAGACAAGCTACAATAAATTCTAGTCTTTAAAACTCAGGAGAAGGCTGAGAGAAGATTGGAAGAATATTTATTAATAGACAAACTAATTGAGCTTTCTTCTTGCAGCTAGGACTGTAACTCCATTTGAAGGACGGTATTTGTCCTGGCCACAGCTAGTTGCAATCTGTATAAAGCAGCTGTGGTGTCAAGATGCCCAAGCATGTTGTTCTTGCATTGAGAGCGTTTATATTCACTTTTATCTCAGCAGAAGAGATATTATACCATCTTACTTATGTCTTGTTCATCATTTCAAAGTTAGTTCTGTCAGAGCATGAGATGGCTACTGGAAAACATTTCTGGGGATAATGAGATATGAGTAGGTTTGTAATGTGTGTCATTCTCTTGGAAGGAGAAGAAGCTAAGAAGAAGAAACAGAAAGAAGGAGTCGTCTTTAATACAGTTCTTTGTTTCGTACGCAGACTTGTCCATCAGAGCTACAGCAACTTTAAATGAAATACAAGATTTCCCATATACAGGCATTATGAATGGGAACTGTTGTGGAAGAGAAAGCCAGCAAGATCAAATATGTAAGTCTTGAAAAGGTGGGAAAGGCTTCCACCATTCAACTCGTGACAAGGGCATTGAAAGGAAGTCAGCATAACTCTAGTGTTCAGATAGGCTCAGTAGAAGACAAATAATGGTAAGGTGTCATACAAACTTTTTTTTTCAATGTGTTGTGTGTAGTAAATAATCCCTACAGAAAATAAGGGAAAAATCTAGAATTTGCACATTTTGTCACATACGTATTTTGACCAGTCGAATTTGCATAGTAAATATATATTCTACATGGTAAATAAGATCCCAAGTGACTGAGTGGAAAGAAATATTTATCTTTGGTGCTTAAACAGCTTAAAAGTTATTTCTTCTCATTCCTGTAGTAACAAGGTAGAAATCACTGTGCACCAAAGGCCTCACCGTTGTTAATGCCAACCCTTGGAACATTGGGGTAGCTCATGCTGCAGCACATATTGCTGCTCTTCACCAGTCAGGATATGACATGTGCTTGTCATCATTGCATAAATTGGGAGTTACTAGGATTCATCTTTGTTGCGAGCAGGTAGACCTCAGGCCTGTATCTTTCATGGACTTAGACACATTCCTCTCCACTACTTCTAAGAACTTTTCAGTCTCATCTAACCATTGAACTTCCTGGCTGGATTCCAACACCAAACTTTGCTTCCGCAGTTACACTTCCCAAAAACTGTAACTTTCTATTTGGAAGCAGGATAGAACTTTTACCTGCCTAAATCCAGCGCTCATGTCAACTACTCCAATAAGAGCAATACAATCTTCAGTTGACTTCTGGTTTTGGGCGTATCCCACCAACAAGGGACAGTGATGACAGGTAGAGGAGTCAAAGTGTATTTGGGGTACAGAATTCAAACTCTGTTTCTGTTCCCGGTTTGTTACGGATACTTTGAGATAGTATGAAAGAGGCAAGAATTCTCTTATTATACTGTATTCATCATTCTCTTATTCATTATACTGTATTCACAGTAACGAATTGGACCACAGTGTCAACTATGCAAGTAATTTCTGTGTTGCACATGGAATTTTGCTGTTGTTTCTAGGGGAAAATGGATAGTATTTAAATTCAGGTAGATCTATTGTCTCAGAAAAGGATGGACCTCACTCTGAGCTGAAGGATCAGACAAAGGGCAACCAGCTGTGGTGCCTTAGTTTCTTAGTAGCGAGGAGGTGACGTTTGAATGGCTAACAGTAGCAGAAATAGCCATGAGGTATTAGAGACGGTTCAAAAGGAACAGTCTCCTCCATGGCTGAAGAGCTGTTTTTCCACACCTGCTGTTTTACTGTGGTTATGGAAAAAACAGCTTAAGATTTTTCTTCTGCTGTATTGTTAGTTGTTATAAGTTATTTTACAGTATATTCTCAGTCATAACAAGATTTACAGTTGAAACTTATAATGCCAGGTTGAAAAAAGTGCAACTAGTGGGGCCGAGGAGTTTTAATCACAGGTAGCTAGCTGATCATATAGCCTAACAAGTCTCAGCAGAACTTTCCAGTTTGGCCAGCAAAGTTGTTTTCAGATTATTTCCATCACTGTATCAGCCTCCAAATATAATGGAATATCTGAAATTTGTATATTGAACATAAAATCATTGTTCTGTGTTCAGTAATAACTGCTGTGAAACACCTCTCCTCTTCCAAGGATTACCTTTCAAGGAACAAAGCAGCAGCTGCAACATCAGTGATCATGTGGTCTCCTCTAGATTTTTCTTGTAGCCACAGAGAGAAGAACAGGAGTTTCATTTTTACAAAGCATATTCTGTGTAGTTGACATCTGTGCTTTCCAGCAATGTGCAAAGAAAAGGAACTCAAAACATGTTTCCTCAGGCTCTTAACAGTCATTTTGCCTTTTATGAACACTTTTCCTTATGGAAAAGTGAAAAGATCGGGCAATACTCCAGAATCTGGGTTACCTGAGTTTAACCATATATTATTCCCTGCTCTGACTTCTTGAGCAATGAATCTCATTCAAAGAACTAGGGAATGGTGATATCTCCCTGCAGCCAGAAAGGATCCTGGCCTTACTACTGTGTCCAAGTCTTCACAAGGAACAAAAACCGCCTTATTCGCTGAAGTGAAGCCAGTGTTGCATCTGTGTGTCCCAGCTACCTGGGACACCACTTGCGGTCAAGTGGCAACATCATTCACGTCTGTATGGAAAGAAGATTTTAAAGCACATGGTGCATTTTGCAAAATAACAGTGATTGCTACTAGTACATCAAGTACTTAAGCCATTGACTTACGTAGGCATCCTTAACAAGGGTGATTTATTATTTTCTCTTAGCAGGGAAAGAAACATTTCCCTGGTTAGAATTTGACCGATTAGATGAGAAACAGATTAAGGAGAAAAAAAAAAATCATAGGTTTAGTCACTTCAATGATCTCCCCAAATAAGACAGAGGACTATTCAAGTTTAAATGGGCCAGCCAGGACAGGACTGCACACCTACCATTGCACCAGAACCTACAAGAAGAGTTGAGAAAGTCACCTTTGGGGTATTCAAGTGGGTATGACAGACAACTGAGGCCAAACACAAATTTAGCTCTAAATCATCCTAGGTAGATGAGACTACCCACGTTAATGACCTGTTTCCTATTAAAGTCAGGCAGGCCATCTCGAGTGTTTCTTGATCAAGATTAGTGTTTGTCTTCCCCAAAATTAAGGGAATTCCTTCAATATTTTCCTTGCACAAAAAAGTCCTAGACTCAGTTTTCCTTCAGCCAGATTCAGGGATATTCCGTAGTCTCTGGGTATATGAGCGAGTCAGAGATTTTGCCTCCAGAGCCTTAGGTACAGGCGAGCCAAACAAACAGCAGATGAGGTCTTATTGCTGAGCTTACTTTAGCCTATCTGCTTTTAAGGTGAAATCAAAAGTGACAGTCACTTCCATGACTCTTCTTACGATTTGAGCTGTAACCAGACAGGAGCCTGAACAGAACAACCTGTCCTTCCCCCCAGCCTTCAATTAGTATTATAATTGCTCAGGTCTTTCTTCAGCATAAGAATAGTTTATGCTTTCTTTGCTTTTTTTTTAAGGTGCACACTTGTGCACGTATGATACATATACACACATACATAGTCCATACGCTGAGAAATCTTTTTGGTAGAGAGGAAAATAGTTTTCTCTGGTTTAGTTTCCAGATTTCTCTTAATCTATGAAAATGGACTCTTTCTGCAATCTTTAACAATCTTTGTAAGTGTATTCACTTTAGCTCTTTTCATCTGTAACTGCAGC